TTCAATCAATTAATTATTTTATTTCTGCATAATCTATTTTATATTTATTTTTTAGTGATGTAATATCAATAATTTGAGATTAGTAATTACTTATATGGGATAATTATTTTTAAATTATTAATATTTTGTTTGTTTATATTGAATATATAAAGTAAAAATTAAATTTATTGCTTAATGCTGATTTATAAATGAAAAGATAGCCTAAAATTATTCATATAGTAAAATGTGAAAGTATGTATAATAAAATATATATATATATATATATATATATATATAGTATAAAATAATCTAAAAGAGAAATTGATATGTTTACCTCTCTTTCATTTACAAAATTAATGTTAAAAAAAATAAAATGTAAATAATTATGTGTATGATATTAAAATGATGAACAAATGAATCATTTATCGAATTTTTATGTAAATTAATATATTATTAAAATTCAAATATCTATAATATATATTTTTATAAATTATAATGACCTGAGTAGTTATCCGTCGAACTACAATGTCAATTATAAGTCGAGAAAGAAAAATCAAATATTTATACGATATGTTATTACAAATTATGATGACAAACAAACAAAGGATCATCTGTGGAATTGTGCATGTAAATTATAATTTGATAAATAAAAATTAAAATATTTATAATGTATATTGTTATAAATTGTAATGATAAAAAAAAAAAGGTTATTTTTCGAACACCAATGTAAATTGTTAGATTAAAAAAAATATTAATATATATACATATATTATTTTAAAGTATAATGAACAATCATATGAGTCATTAGACTATGATGAAATTCAAGTTCTTATAATATACATTATTATAAATTTATAAAAATTAAAAATAAAATAATCATGACATAATTAATGATTAGTAAATTTTGTACAAGTAACACACACTACTTTTTTTTAATTAAATATCGGTTCATAATATTTACCATAATTTTTCATACCATTACTTATTTATGAACCAAAAAAAATATATTGTAATAAGTTACAAGTAAGAGAAGAGAAGAGAAGTATGCTTGAATAGTTCAATTTTACTTTTCATTAATTCTAAACAAGAACTTAACATTTGTCAACTATTTTACAACGAGTTAAATAAATATATAAACTATATAGTAAATATTATGTATCATATAAATACAAAAAATAAAAATTATATTAATATTTAAAATTATTTTTAAAAATTATATTAATATTTAAAATTATTTTTATACTAATCAATATTTTTTCTCTTCTTTAATTTTTATGATTTATCATTATAGAAATAAAGACACCACGTGTCCTCTGTAAATAAATATTTACATTTTAATCCCCGCTTACTATTAAGACAAAATGAGTCCATATAATTCCGATTTTACTCCCTTTTAAAGTCTTTTTAGTGGCTCTTTTCTTTTAGTTTTTTTTTAATTATTATTTTACATTTTTTTCCTTAATTAACACCATATTATAGGTGACGGTTCTCTCTACTTTCCACGCTTTTCTCTCTGGCTCTCCCTTTTTTTTTTTTTCCTACGATAAAATTCAAACAGTCCGCTATTGAATTTTGTTTTCTTTAATTCTTGTTGAATATTTTTAATTTTTTTTTTTGTCCTTTGTGAGCCTCCATTGCCGGATTAAAGTTTCGTTGAAGCCCACCGCTCGTGGCCATGAGCCGGATTTCACAACGCACCCGTTCAACCAAATTGCCCCAATTTCTCTTGGCTCAATAGTTGCGCCGGTTATGAATTTTTGTCAATGAGCAGGTTACCGAGTTTGTGTGCCACCATTTTATGTTGTTTTTACGCCATTTTTGTGTTGCTTTTAGGTTATTTTTATGTTGCTTGAAAATGTTATATTGTTTTTGGCTTGTTTGTGTCTCAGTGTCTACCAACTTATTTGGGCACATTAATTATTATAATTTTTTAATTGTTATTATTGTTTTTTTATGGTATTTTGCTCTTCCTTACAATGTCAAGATGTGACCAACTATCATACAACTATCCACCAAATTTGATGTATCTATTTTTTATTTTATTTTTTTCTTTTATTTTTTTTTAAATTATTTTTTCTTGAAAGATGTTTTTCTTTATGTTTCGATGTCAAAGGAAAAACTACGGGAACTTACCAAGAGTGATTAGTTAGTGTGACAATGATTTCTCAATGATTACTCAATGATTCGGTCTTCTGTTTAACTTTTTTTTTTTTTGAAGATTTTATTTTCTTTTAATCTGATTTAATTATTATGTACATAACCAATTGAGTAATTTTTTTTTTTTTTTGTTGTTTTATTTCTTTAGTCATTCATGTTTGGAAAAGAAAAGAAGAATAACTGAAGAAGAAGAAGAAGAAGATAATTGAAGAAGAGAGAAAAAAAACGTTGACGAGAAGTGTGGGAGTGAGAAGAAAGAGAGAGAAAGAGGGCAGTTAGAATTTTGAATTAATGTAGCTCGTTGTTGGAATATTTTTGACTCACTTGAGTATTTTTGAAATTCAATATATTGAAGCATTTTTATGGAATTCTTTTTCATACTTGGGTTAGTTATGTATTTTTCCCATCATTATACCCCATTCATCAACGGGCCACGCGCTAGTTTAAATTTGTTAAACCAAACATTGCTACTTATTTGAACCCATGGGCTAGATTCTTAGGCCTAATAGGTAACTCCCAGCCCATTTACAAAGATTGAGATCCCAATAGAGAGTCCAAGTCCAATCCAGGCATACACTTCTTCCGATCTCTCCCAATTGCATTATGTTTTTTTAAAGATATTCACAATTTTGAAAGCACATTAATTTCACCAATATTTAAAGAGAAGTTTGTAACTAAAATTCCAAATAATAAATCGTTATTAAAATTGATATGTTCGTTAATAGCGGCTCATGAGGAACCGGTTGTGATCCGGTCATCATTACATTATGAAGAGGACCGGCTCGGCACTGTGGTAGTCGGGCGGTTGGGTGAGTGTCCGGCGAGTGGCGAACGCTCGGCATGGGATAAGTGTCGGGCATGAGGAGTGCCCGGCGTAGGTGGTGCCCGGCATGTCAGGTGCCTGGCGCTAGGTTCTCGGCAGGGGTGCCGGCGCAAGGCTCTCGGTGACGCGTGTTCAGCACGAGGTGCTCGAACTTGGATGATGCTTGGTGGGTGCTCAGCCTTGGGAGGTGTCCGGCGGTTCTCGCGCGTCCAGAGGTTCTCGTGCGCGTCGAGGAGGTTAGAACCTCAAGGTGACTTTGTGATCAAGTTACGAAGAAGTCAGTAGCAACAAGGACTCTCGGGGTTTCAGAAGACCTTTTAACCTAATATAGAGTTTGATATGAAGAAGACTTCTTATCCCACTGGGACTCTCCAAATTTCTCCTATAAAAGGGAGCAGGTTCATTCATTTTACACAAAACATTCACGAACTATCTCGTTACTCTGCCGTTTTCTCTCTAGACCATCACTGACTTGAGCGTCGGAGTGTTCGCGCCGGGACCACCCCCGACGTGCTTTGCAGGTACCGACGATCAAGGAGACGCAACCCGGTTCGAGAGGAGCGGTCCAGCGGTTCGAGTATTTGTGGTATAACAAAAATTATGATGAAAATATTAGTTTGATTCATATAAGAATGATAATATTTTAGTGATCATCAATCTTTTTTCTCAAAAATGCTTCATCGCTTATTGAATTTTGGCAACTTTTGTACGATTGGTCATAAATCCAATCCAAATTTAACTAGTTAAATTCATTTCTTACCAAATAATTTTAAATTTATTTTTAAACATAAAATTCAACTTTAATCTAACTCAATATAATTTTATTTTTTTTAAAATAAATACCACATTTGTGAAAAGAATATTTTTGAAATATATATATATATATATTGGCTAATTAATTAATTGATCAGGTTGGTGTGACGTGTCACCATGGTGTTCTAGTGAAACATATGAATTGTGGATTTTAAGGAAATGCTACAATTTAATCGGGATTTATAACTGTTAGATCATTATGTCACCGTCGTGAATATTTGATTTAACAGTTACAAACCTCGATAGAATGTTTCCATAACGGGACCGTAGAATCTCCCATAAGAAAAATTTTATAGGGTTTATTGTTGTTTTCAAATATTTATGGTGGTTGACTTTTGAAAACAGTTTGAGTATAAATTTTACTTGTAATTTAGCCTTTTTATTTATTTTTTATTGATATTTTTATATAAATGGAATTAATGTACGTAATTTACTGGAATACTTTCCACTCAAGACCAATTCAATATATAGAACTAAAATAAAACAAGAAATAATGATAATAAAAAATTTAAATAGTCAACTCAATTATATTAAATCCTATCCTCAAGAAACACAAAGTCATAAACCTAAGGATGTCAAAAAAACAAACTATTGTCATAAAATATTATATTTTAAAGTAAATAAAAGTCAACCCTAAAGAAATTTCAACATGTGTTTTTAATAGCAAAATTAATTTCATGGGTTTTTATATTAATTATTTTCATAATCCTCTCTATATATAATTTTCGAATGCGCTGAACCTACATGACTGCTTCTGGTGCTTCGGAATCCTATTTGGCGAAGAATCATGCTTCATAAAAATACTGACTTTTATGAAATGTCAATTCATAAAGCTCTAACCGTTGTAGTTTTTGTGTAGACAAAGTCCACCATCATAGATTCATAAAGATACTGACTTTTATGAAATGTCAATTCCTTGAAGTTATAATAATAGATTAGGTAACATGTAAATGGTCCCATGATTGTTACCTACGTACGTACATGGAGAAAAACACACACCAAACACGCGCACACACGACTTTACACACACACACAGGAGAAAATTTTGGCTTTTAATTAAATGAAGATAGCAAGCAATAAGGCTACAAGTCTCGTTACGTAATCATTTCGTCAGAATTTGTAACTGTTAGATCATCATATAATCGTCGTTGATAGTTGATCTAACGATTACGATACCCGACGGAATGGTTTCGTAACGAGATCGTAGAATCTCCTTATAGTTTGTTCATAATACATTTACATCAGCCCAATTTAATTTGGAAACAATCAAATGAAAAGTTACATATATAATGAAATAGGACAATTTTTTTTTTCCCAACAAAAAAGACTATAATAACTTATACTGCTAGTTAAGTTTTGAAATATTGGTAATTGATGATAGATAATTTCTTGAAGTAAATAATCTCTATAAATTACTTTTAAGAACCAACTAAATTAAGAGCACCCATATTGCATTGTGTCAATATATGCGTATATAAATTAACTTAAATCTTGAGTGACCGTGGACAAACTCAAGTAAAAGAAACCCAAAAGCTATCCAATGTACATGAGAAACAATAACAATGCTTTAATGTGTATTCTATATTCAAAAGAAAAATTAAAGTAAGAATAAATACTTACTGTTCAGGTTTGTACTTGAGTCCCAAAATAAACTCAAGTATGGTCTTTGTCTCATTTTATAATTGCCGCACAAGTTAGACCATGTCTAATTTTAATTGCATTGGAAAGCATTTTTTTTACAACTAATTCTATTTTTCTTATATGACATGTGATATTTTTTCAAGAGACCAAAAGCATTGTGGGTGCTCTAAGAGATAGATAGATAATGGTGAAAAATGGTCATTAACACATCGTGGACATAACTAGATGCGTCACGATCTCGTGGTCTTTTAACATCATGTTCAGTGTGTAGATAATGCTACGTGTGTGTAAACACAAATTATTGTACAATACAGTCTAACGGTTAGGTGAATCGACTCGTCATACTACGTGATAAAAATATGCATATCTTAAACATGCTAACATACTCATTGAGTTTGAGTTCAAGTTTGGGCCATCTCCAAAGGCACATAGTACAATTAAGAAAGCAATAGAATAGACTATGAAAAGAACTAATCATGAAAGATGGTGCTATGTCACATCCATGGCTGCCATTTTCACTTCATTTTCATGAATATGTCTACTACAACTATAGAAGTACTTGAAGAAAAATTTTATTTCTTAATTGCCTTGCGGACTTTTTACACGTGCGAGAAAACAAAATAAGGAGAATATAAAAATAAATATAAATAAATAAATAAAAGGGGGTAAAAAGAAAAAAAAAATTACCCTAACTACACAATCTAGATTCTATTTTAAACTCTTCTTTGCAGTTTTACATTTGGGCTTCCCTTTTTTTTTTTTTTACTCTTCATTGTCTATTCTTTGAGAGTTAGCTCAATGGGCAGGCCTTTTTGTGGAAGGGCAAAGGGCCCATACTGAATGCCATCTTGTGGGCCCACCACAGTCCACCTGCAAAATAATTGTAAAAAATAATTAGCCAAAAAAAAAAAAAAAGTTTTCACCACAGATCAAAAAGGGTAAATCCAAGTTTTTTCTCTCTCTTTTTTTT